AAAAAAAAAAAATTATAGATTATTTTCAATACCTAGGCCATATCCCACTCCCATCCCCCTAGATAGTGAAGGAAAAAAGGTTGCTTAGCCAGGGCAATTGAAGGGGTCTCAGGTAAGGACTGAATATATCCCCCCAAATGATGCGCTGTAAATTTCAACCTCTCTGCCTTTGGTTCAAAATCCTATTTGGGAGTGGGCCGTCTTCGTTATGTTAACGAGGCAGGATTAGTGCAGGGTATGCCCGGAGTCCATCTCCTGAGATAGAAAAGAGATTCAACTAGCAAACTAGGAAGCAGAGGTGCGGGAGGAGAGACAGACGCCAAGTCCGCAAGACGGCCCAGGAGAAGCAGCTCAGAGGAGACAGGCTTGCCACCAAGCGACCAAAGAGAGCCTTCCCCTAGAGCCCACGCCGTGAAGTCCGACGAGGAGAAGTCGCTGCCTGTTAAAACCATCCTCTCGGGATATTTCTGCTACAGCAGCACCAGCGGGTGAAGACCGTGCGCTCGTTCCCATGGGTGTGAGCACGCAAAGGGAATGGTAGAAGCCCCAGAGCAGATCATGAACGGGCTCTCACGTGAGGCCGCCGAATTCCGACTTTATCTTCTGAGGAGGAAGATACTCCTGAAGGATGATGTTGTCGAGCTCTTCGTTAGGGCAGCTGGATTGGATAGATGCCAAGACTGGACGGCATGGAGGGCCGAGGAAAGAGACGGCTGGGGAGGCCCTGGGTAGATGAACCCACTGCCCTCGAGCTAAATCCGACTCATAGCAACCCTGTAGGGCAGAGTAGAGCCGTCCCGTTGGGTTTCTGAAACGAAAATCTCTACAGGAGCAGAAAGCCTCATCTGTATCCCAAGGAGCCGCTGGCAGAGTTGAACTGCTGACCTTGTGGTTAGCTCAGTGCACAGCCCACTCTGCCACCAGGGCTCTTAGGGGAGAAGATGGAAGAATCATAGGCTCTCTTCATCTGACTAGATTTCTGAGGCGGCTGCAACAGTTTACCTCCAATTCAGCGGTTCGAAACAAGAGATTTCTTCTTTCAATTCTGGGGACCATAAATCCAAAGTCAGCATCACTGTGTGAATATGAACGTGTCAACAAGCCTTGCTCCCTTTGGACGATCTGGGAAGCGTCCATTCCTTGCCTCTTGCAACTCCTGCAAGCATTCCTTGGATTATGGCCACATCACTCCAATCTTCATGGCCACATCTTCAAATTGCTCACATAACCTGTGTGTCTGTCTCAAACCTCCCATGTTAGTCTGGGTTGACTAGAGACAACAAATTCATAGACACTCATGTGTACAAGAAAGAACTTTATATAAAGAGTAATTGTATACTGAGAAAACATCCCAGTCCAGATCAAGTTCATAAGTCCATTGTTAGCCTATATATCCGATACTAGGCCATAAATTCCTCTTTAGACTCACACTGCACATGCAATGACGCTGAATGCAGGAAGATCACAGGCCAGTGGGCAGAAGGTCTTGTGAATCCAGTGGCAGTAGAAGCATCTCAACGCTGGCGTGGGTCTGCACGTGTCTCTTGCAGTTCTTTGAATGGTCTCAACAGCAGGAAAGGGAAGGCAGAGAGAGTTTATGTCCCAACTCCTGGGAGAAAGACAGGAGTTCCCAGAACCCTCAGGAGAAGGCCATGCCCACATAGAGGCCTCATTGGTTATGACTGTTAGATCTCTCTGGAGCTAGATTTATACCTCGGTCCTTGGCTCTGCGCGAGAAAGAATTCACGCCGAAGCCTGGTTCGTGGTCGAAGTGAGTTTTATGACAGTTAGAAGAAGTTTCAGGCTTACATGGCACCCAAGGGGCTCCTCCCGGACACGCGGCCTATCTGGAAGTGGCTCTGCGTCCCGCAAAGCGTGCCAAAGCTCTCTGCGCCGGAGTTCTCTCCCTTCCGTCTAGGTCCTTCTCCTCCGTTCTAAGTTCTTGTCCTCCCATCTCGGTTCTTGTCCTTGTTCTAAGATCCCCTCTCCTCTGGGCTTCTGCTTTTCAGGGATTCCACAGGGAGGCGTGGTGGAAGACCCCTGGTCGACCCCATTGGCTGAATTGAATTTACCTGGCTATGTGATCCAATTCAAGTTCACGCCCACCCTTGCCTACCGGCGGGAACCCTAAACATGTGCGGGGTGCCACTCCTTTGTTCCCCTAGCTTGACCCTCTGGGCACGCGTTAATGGACATCCCCCAGTCCTATGCTGGCCTACCTAACATGACCTGATTGACAGACTCCACCCCTTCACTCAAGTTGACAGGAGATTGTGTAACTGCCCACCTCCCTCTTCCACTCTCTTATAAAGACACTTGTGATTGCATTTAGGACCCACCCAGATAATTGAGGGTAAGCCCCACATCTCAAAATATTCAATCACATCTTCTAAATCCAAATAAAGTCACTTCCATGTGTTCTAGGGACTCGGATTGCTCTAGGGATTCGGATAAAATGTCTGGGGACTAGAGATCCCTCTGAGGCAGGTTTTACCCTGTCCTATAGAGTTGCTGAGTTGGAAGAATAATGAAAAGCCACTGCCATCGAGTTAATTCAGACACATGTAGGACAGGGTAGGGTTGCCCCTGCGGGTTTCTGAGACCAGAACTCTACAGGAACAGAAGCCTCGCCTTTCTTCCATGGGGCAGCTGGCCATTTAGAACTGATGACCTGGTGATAGCAGAACGTTGATAGATGCTCAGAGATGAGTCTCAGATTGGAAGGCATTCTGGAAGGTACAACTGGAGAAGAGCTGCCGCCTCTTTAAGTTGTTGGGTGTAACCAAGTCAGTTCCAACAAATACTGACCCTGCATACACCAGAATCAAATACTGCCCTCTCTTAAGGACCTTCCTCTTTTCCCCCCTGGACCACCTTCAGGGACTGGTCCCTCCAGATAACACATCCAAAGCATATAAGATGAAGTTTCACCACCCTTGCTTCTGAAGAACATGTTGGCTGTACTTCTTCCAAGATCCGTTTGTTCTTCTGGCATTCATGTGTCTAAAGCTTATATCTATATGGAGAGTGTTTGGGCCGGTCCGGACCACGCAGCCGCTTCCCCCAGCTCTCCCAAAAGACGGCCTGCTGGGCTGTGGGGCCCCTTCCCCCACCTCTCAGGTCAGAGCTGGACTGTGCAGTCCCTGCCTCCAGCGTTCCAAGGAGCTTATCTCTCTGAGCCGGGTCTGTACAGCCCCTTCCCTCAGTGTTCCAGGAGGACTTACTCACAGACCACAGCCTGACTCAGACCTTGCAACTGCAGCACCAGAAGCCCCTCCTTCCCCTTATCAGCACACACGTCCTTGACTCAAGCCCTAGATATGTCCCACTGCCTCGCTGCCAGGCGCGATTCCCTGACCTAACTCCTTGGGTCTCAGAACCTGCCCGGGGGCTCAAGATGCCCCGATCCTTCTCTGTTCTCCCTTCCTTCCCAGGAGTCCTTTCCCTGCCTCAATAAAATCTTTCTCAACTTCACATTCCTGGCTAAATTCTATCTTTGCTCCACATCTCTGTCTCCAACCTCTCATCTTGGTGCAGAAAGACCCCGGACCGACAGGAGGGGCCTCTGTGCTGCCCCAGCCTTCCTCTGGCCAGTGTGCAGCCCAACCTCCATTTTTAACCTCTGAGAGAGAGAGGAGAGATGTTTATATAAGGAAGTGTCTCACTCAGGTGTAGAGGCGGGTATGGTCTAACTCCATAGGTCAGATGTCAAGCTTGAGGTTCCTAATTTATCTAGCCATGGGGACTAATGAAACCTGGATTGGCAGGTCAGACAACTGGCTTCTGGATGCAGTAGTGAATGAATCCAAGGTTGGCCAGTAAAGCAGATGCTGACACCTCTCAGAATCAGTGGGCAACACGGCAGGCCATTGGCTCAAGTTCAAAGAAAAAAACTAAAAGCTCACTGCCATCGAGTCAACGCTGACTGATAGCAACCCCTGTGGGTTTCCCAGACTAACTATTTACAGGAGTAGAAAGTCTGGTCTTTCTCCCTCTGATCTGTTGGTGGTTTCCAACTGCCAACCATGCCGATTGCAGCCCAACACGTAACTGCTCCCCTACCGGGGCTCTGAATACCAAATGGTGAGCCATACGCAGGCTTCAGGTCCAGCAAAAAGTATACAAGATTTCCCACAGCATCCACATCTATTGGAAGCTGGCCACCCCCCTGAGGAAACGCCCCTTCAATTGATTGGTTGTTCATAGCAGGCCTTATCATGGTAGTAATTAACATATTAGATCTCATTATGAGGGATTACTACCCTGTTTCCCTGAAAGTAAGACATCCCCGGAAAATAAGACCTACTTACAGTTTTGCCTCTCGCTGAAATATAAGGCATCCCCCCTGAAAATAAGGCCCCCTGAAGCTACTGTAACTCTGGACCATAGTGGCGGGGCTCACTGGTGGCCGCAGTGCAGCCGGAGCAGACAGGAAGTGCGAGGTCTCTTTTAATTAAACAATAAATGTGT